TTTTTTTTTTTTTTTTTTTACTTACTTACTGACGTTTCAAGTCAGTTCGTACGGGCCTGGAACAATCGGCGGGGCAAAGAAGGAAGACCCTGGCTGTAGAGCTTGACTCTACTGTCTTCACGCGAATACAACGTACGGTCATTATAGCTGTATTTGACGCAACTTATAGTCTAGATGCAGCAATAATGACCGTACGTTGTATTCGGGTGAAGACAGTAGTTCGACTCTGTGAGATAAGAGCTGAGAGGTGGAGAATAAGTGGGAGGCTGGGAGCTTTTTTTTTTTATGAAAAAAATTACGGCGCAAGTGAAATACCACTACTTAAAAAAAAAAAAAGAAAGAAGAAAGAAGCAGTTTCAATTTTCAAAGCCAGTTGCGCTTGAAAGTCGGTCTTAAACATCATGCATGAAATTGCAACTCGGATATTTATTGCTATATAAAATTATAAATTGCAACTGGGATATTTATTGTTATATAAATTTATTAAATTGCAAGTCGGATATTTATTGCTATAATGTGGCTCGAAAGAGTTTGTGTTTTACTCTTTATTGGAGCTGTAGGAAAATCCGCACAAATAGGACTCCATACTTGGTTACCGGACGCTATGGAGGGCCCTACCCCAGTATCAGCTCTGATTCATGCAGCTACTATGRTAACAGCAGGTGTTTTCATGATGGCAAGGTGTTCTCCCTTATTTGAATACGCACCCAAGGCTTTAATTGTGATTACTTTTGTGGGAGCTATGACATCCTTTTTTGCGGCAAATATATATCGTCAAACAGAGCTGCCTGGTAAACCGATATCGTCAAATATATATATGAGGAACTGAAATAATACTGAAAAAAAAGAAGACAAAAAAACAACAGAAAAAAAAAAACAAGAAAAAAAAGAAGAATGATACTGCATGTAATTGCAAACGGGGGTAGAAACAGGAATTTAGATTTTCCAGCAGGTGATGCTCCCCACCAATAGATGGAGCCTCTCCCAGGTGCTAGTGGTGTCGGCTCTTATCAGCACCACTAACCCCGGAGGGGGGTGTTTAAAAAAAAAAAAGAAAAAGGAATTTAGATTTATATATACACATTTAGAACGTAGAAAGTGCTAGAAACCTTATATTAGCTATTGCATGCGTACTCTCATTCCCAGCGACACAATAAAAAATACGAGTTTTCAGTAGTGCTGATAGCCTTGTATACTTGCTCTCATAGGCAAGATCAAGAAAAACATTGATCAAGATTCAAGATCAAAAAAAAAAAGAAAAAAAAAAAGATCATCATCTTCAGCAGTGCTCATGGCCTCTTGGTTAGGATAGGCAATTACGAACACATGCGAGCAATTAAAAAAAAAAAGCCCATTTACGTACGCACAAACCCTTTTTTTTTTTTTTTTTTTTTTTTTTTAAAAAAAAAAAGAGAATAAAAAAGATAGGAGCAACAAAGGAGAAGAACCGGGCCCAGCGTCCCATAAAAAAAAAAAAAAAAAAAAAAAAAGTACGCACAAACCATCGCGAGTTAAACTTAACTCGCTCGTACTCACAAAGAAACACACACACGCGTTGACTCTGAGAGAACGTGTGTTTCTTTTTGTTTGACTCGAGTCAAAAAAAAGGATTGACTCAGAGTTAAAAAAAAAAAAAAAAAAGAAACACACCATCGCGCGTAGCCGAGTTACCCCGAGTAAACCTTCAATGGATTAATAAAAGCGGGCGGTAACTGCATGGATGAGTGATCAACGAGTTCAGATTTTTTTTTCTTTTTTGCATCAGTTTAGTTCGATTTGTGTTTTTTGTATTAAAAAAAAAAGAAAAGAAGAACGAACTCTGAGATTGCCTCTGGGTTAGCATAACCCGTAGCACGTGCTGCTCCCCACGAATAGATTGGAGCCTTGTTCCCATTGAAAAAAAAAAAAAAAAAAAAAAAAAACCGTAATGTGTAACCGTTCGATAAGTTCGGGGGATAACCCTGGG